GTCGAATCCTTGAAAAAACATGTTCAATTCTCTGACTGAGAGAATCTCGATTAGGTTTCAAAAAACGCGCCACTACTTATTGCGATTTAGTTTTACTTTGCAATATAAACGAATAACAACGAGATTTGTTGCATTTTGAAAATATTGAAAAAAGTTAAAGGAAGATATTGGAAATCATGAACACTATTCAGCACTACGAAGTGACATACACTTGCCTGGATCGATCTTGCAAGACATTGGATTTTACCATCAAAAATTCTAAAAAGAACCTGAAGAAATCGTGTCCATTGTGCGGGAAAGTTTACTCACTAATAGAGAATTCAGTGATATAATTCGTTTGTGTTTGAGAAAATGCCAATCTTCGACCGTTCCATTTACAGGTAAAATACAACAGTTGATCCTCTGTCTAATGCCAATCATTTTCAATTATTCAAATGCTTGAATAAATGCCATAATTTAAAAAGTAAGAGAGTGTGTGTATTTCTTCAAACGAAACTAGTTCAATGCCATGAATCACATTCATTCGTATTTCAAGTAGAAAGTGATGAAAAATTGAAGAAAAAAATCGCAATGAAAAAAGAAGATTCTTATCATTTTATACCTAAATCTGGGAACCTGACAAAATGCTTCGATTGTTTGAAATTCGTAAATATGTTCATCAAGTGTGAAATATAAACTCAGACATAATTAGCAATCAAAGAATTTAAATCGATATACCCTATTGAAATGAAGGAGAGCTGATCGAAGATGAATAATTCGTTTTGGTTCGACCATTTCTGTAAGTAGTAATTGATTTATCATAAAAATATTTGCGCAAATAGCGGAACATTCCCTCTCTATGTTTTATCTTTCTCCACTTATTTTCAAAATCAAACAAAAAAATAAGTTAATTACACGCAATATCAATTGGGCAATTTAGATAATATGTCACCCGATTATTTTTCTACATATTGAGATGTCCAGAATATTTGCATTGTGTAAAGAGTGGTTTCACTTCGACGAAATAACTGCGAGACATAAATAAGCCGAAATATCTGCAATTAGCTGTTGATTTTGTGTTATTATTGCTTTGTTCGCATTCATTACCTTTGTCCGCACTTGAATGAATTTGTTTGGGTTTCCTTTGTGGTTATTTATAACAAGATAAAAAAATGCTGATTTGCAGGCGAATCCACTTCAATCATTTTAAGCTGTCGTTTGTCCAATGTTCTCTTCCAAAATATTCAAGTTTCGATATTGTTTTTATCACGGAGAATAATCATATAAATAATTTGAGAAAAAAAGCAACAAAAAAAATATTTATCCAAAAAAATTCGGCGACTTGATTAAGCTCTAAACGGGATGGCCGCAAGTGTGTTTATGATGAACATGAATTTCAGCGTCATATTTTGATGTGGTTTACAATTCTGAAATTCATTTCGCAGCCGTTTTCAGCCAGAACGATTGGTATAAATAGAGGCGGCACACTTGGTTCGATAGGTTCATTTGAATTTTGCAGCAAACTACGAAACATCGAAGAGTTTCGAAGAATCATTTTCATTTTCGAACAAAGAAAAAGCGAAGCGAAGTATAAATCGAAGATGCGTTGGCATGCATACTACCAATGTCGTTATTACAACTGTCAACACAAATACCACTCAATCAACCACCAGTCATTGCAGTCTCGGGAATGTCCAGGATGTGGCCAATTCAACCATCCATATGCAGAGGTGAGCAAATCAAATAGAAGTTAAAGAAATACAAATTAGTTTTGGGAAAAATTAAATTATAAAGCGAAATTTGAATCTCCATCATACAATCATATTTCTTTTTCTTATTTTTTTTTTCACAGACTCTTCCCTTCCCAGATCATGGACCAGTCTTGAATTTGTGATCCTGTTGCTGCTGCTGCTGCTGTCGCACTAGCTGTATCACTGATCGAACAATTGATATCGAAATCTCCACTGTTTTGTCATGAAGAGATATTGGATAAAATCATGCAATAAATCTTTTGGTAAAGCGCCAGCGAAATACCGTGTGTTTTTGTTTATTGAAACAAGTGTGGTGTACAGTTTTACATTTGATTTACAGGATTTTTTTTCAATTTCTTTTGGTTAAGTTCTGTTTTAGTAAGAACATTTGACCGACATTGTAAGTATCAAAAAAAGGTAATGTGCTCAAATTAACTGCAAGAAATTTTTATTTCGTTCACGAAAACGAATTCACTCGTCATTCACTTTATTATCTACTGAATATCAAACGCTGTCATTGTTTTATCCATCTGGAAATATAAAAACTAAATTCATATCGATCAATATAGCTTTAAAGTTGATCCAGTTCAATTGTGCTAGAAGAGTGAAATGAAAGAATTTTTCTTCTCATGTTGGATGCGTTCTTGTTCAAAATACGTTTCATGAATCAAATACAAATAAAAAAAAAATTAAGACAAAAAATGCTATGTATAAAATTTTACGCTAACGATTTTGCTATTGATCTTTGGATTGAAATTATGAGACGCACAATATGAACTGAAATAGAAAAATTAACCATACTAATTGTTACTTTTTTAAAAGTGATTATTTCTTCTGCTTCTGATTTGATATTGATTTTGTTTTAATGAAACAATGTTCTAGGGCTTAGGACATAGGCATAAGTGAAAGTATGAAACAAAAAGGTAAAAATGAAATGAAAAAATGTTTCAAGTTGAATGTATTAATAGAATATTAATTTGTTGCCTTCAATTCGCATATTTATTCCTGCAACATGAACTCAGAAATGAGCAATGGAGAGTATGACTTCCGAGATATCCTCGTTTTGGCTCAACTGTTTGTAAAATACCGTTTAAAATGATTTAGCATGAAAGTATGTCAGAGAAAAAAACCTTTTCATTTTATTATTATTTTCAATAAAAAGATATTGAGTAGGAACGATTGAGTAGCCGACTTACATGCAAAATGCTGCAACAATTGGCAGGCCATTTAAGACATATGGTTATTTGGGCCCTATTGATATACTCTCTCACACTGGAAAAAATATGCCTTTTTGTATGTTTCAGCACGCGCGCGATATTCATTTGAGCAACGCTAGTACTGACAAATTCAAATTTGCATTGCGTAGACTCATTTCAAAGAGAAAGGCTTGGTAAACCATGTATGTTCGGATAACGGAACTAATTTTATGGATGCAACAATTTCATAAAAAGTCTCACCGAGACACATAATTAATGGGCAGCACACACAAACTTACAAATGAACATTGACATTATTGTTCCCGAATGCACCTTCTTGGGATAGATTATATGGGAGGCCAGCGTTAAGAGTGTCAGAAAAGCATTTGCTTCGCGTCGTTAGAGTTATTGATTCCAAGAAATGTAACATAACAACAATTTTTCTAAAGAGAGCACCAAATGCATTTTTTATGTTTGAAACGCGAACAAAGAATCATCATCTAATTATGCAAAATCACCGATCACCCGACGATCGCACACCAAGAGCAAAATTTACAAATGACTTGCTTGCAACTTGAATATACAAGTCAAATACTTGAAAATACACGTTCAATTCACCAACTGAGTGAATCTCGATCAGGTATAAAGAAACGCGCCTCTACTTATTGCGATTTAGTTTTACTTTAAAATTTAAACAAATAACAACGAGATTTGTTGCATTTTGAAAATATTGAAACAAAGTGAAAGGAAGACATTGGAAATCATGAACACTATTCAGCACTACGAAGCGACATACACTTGCCTGGATCGATCTTGCAAGACATTGGATTTTACCGTAAAAAATTCAGAAAAGAACATGAAACAACCATGTCCAACGTGTAAAATAGTTTACTCACCAACAGTGGAGGTAAATTGCAGTTCATCAAACACCAAACAATTTTAATCATTCAAATGTCCAAGATGTGGCGAATCCATATGCAGAGGTGAGCAAATCAGATAGAAGTTAAAGAATACGAATACAAATTAGTTTTGGGAAATTAGTTAAAGTTGATTTTAAAGCGTAACTCTTGGTCTGTAATACAATTCTTTTCTTTTCTTCCATTTTTATTCACAGACTCTTCCGTTCCCAGATCATGGACCAGTCTTGATCTAACCATTGATATAACGATAGATATCAAAATCTCCACTGTTTTGTCATAAAGAAATCATGCAATAAATCTTTTGGCAAAGCGCCAGCGAAATCCAGAGTGTGTTTTTTTTATTAAAACAAATAGAGTGCTACATTTTATTTACAGGAATTTTTTTATAGTTTTTTTTTTGGTAAAATCCTGTTTTAATGACTTTTAATAAAAGTCTTTTGAAGTACTTACAGTACTTCGAGCATGCTTTTGCATCTTTGCTAAAAATGGTGCTGTACTGAGCTGAAAAAACTTAGCTAACAATTTAAAATACATTGTTTCGTTGTGATATCTTTGAATTTATTACGTGTTTTTTTCATGGTTCCTACACACTCAGCCCATCACGATTTCTAATTATCCTCGATCGCCACATTCATTTCACTCTATTCTATCAAATTGAAATGAAGTTGTGTGTATCGTATATAGTTGAATCAAGGCTTCACCATTTTCCAGCAAATTTTGGCGAAGACTTTTTCTAATTCAAACACATTCGTTACTCCAAAGCGAAAATAAACATTTTTTGATATTTCAAAATATGCCGTTGATATAAACAATTGTGCAAAATCGATTTCGGAGTGTCATATTACGTTTTTCAACTGAAATTATCCGCTTTTTCTTTGATTGCTGATTTCATTTTTGAAGCATGTTTATTTATCAATTGGTTTTTGTTTTTTTATGTCCGTACTTTCTATTATTGCCCAAGCGAAAGAGTACGTTTTGGCTCTATCGTGACGATACATTTCATCGTGGAATAGCGGCCAGCGCATGTACACACCACTTCTCCTTTCTCACTGCTGCTATGTTAAACATAGTAAACGGTTCACGCACACCGATACATGATTGTATGCGTGCGCCCTGGAGCTACAGTCATGTATCGGTGTGCGTGAACAGCATACTATGTTTAACATAGCAGCAGTGAGAAAAAAGAGATGTGTTGCGTACATGCGCTAGCCGCTATTCCACGATGAAATGTATCGTCACGATAGAGCCAAATCGTACTCTTTCACTTGAGTGTTAAAACATTTTGCGCTGTTGATTCCCTGTTGATTTCACTTATTGTACAGCACCGTGCACAATATTTAATCTGAATCGTGATATCAGGACCCTTACTTATATTTGTTATTTGTTCAGCGTTTTCTTCAGTCCGACTTTGGCTGTTATTAGTTAAACATCAAATAGCCATTCATTTTTGAAACGAAAATGTCTTCGATCCACAGTGCAATAAGTTCTGAAACCGCTTCCGATTACTCCGAAGATTCGTTGGAATTTTTAACACCTTATCAGGGGAATAAGCGTTGCTTTGGACAGTTTCGCTGTGACGAGTGCAAGCGCACTTGGTGCTCAGGCAATTCATGGGCAAATACTGCACAAATGTGTCAATGCTGCGACATCCGCGTTTACCCATTCAAACAGGTAATTGAAATGATCATTTCTGTGAAATGATTAATCAAGACGAATTTAAAAAAAATTTGTTCTATTTAAACGGGTTTAGTTTTATTTTTTTGTTTTTGTTTTTCAAAAATTACTGCTACATTTCGTTGCAATTGGAAATTGATTGAACTTTTTCCAATTCATTACAGCGACCATTGAAGAAACCTGGCGGATTGAACAAGTCGGATCCCAAAAAAGCACACCCGAAACATCTGTGCGATAAATGCAAACATCTGGGCCACTATTGTGGCAAATTAAAATATTTCAAGTCCAAAAATCAATCGACATAAAAAAAAAGAAACTGTTCATCAGTGTAATCGTTGAACTGATTCGAAAAAAAAAAACAAATACTTTAAGGAAAATATGGGCAATTATACATACGGTTAATAAAAGGAATCTCCAAATGACCCGTGTTGTATCAACACAGAATGTTAATTGTGCTGGTTTTATTTATTATCTGTGAATTCAAAAAATCGTTATCTATCGCCAACAGTCTGTTGGTTTGTGATAAAATCTAATTGGCTTGATATTTCTTTCTATTTGCAATAAGCAATCAAATACATATTTCGAGTTGCTCTTTATCAACAATGGTAGGTACAGCTAAAAGGTTCTTTGGATTAACTCATCAAATGATATTTAGCGGTGAACATTTTGATATTTTGAAATATATCAAAACAATAGCGACATCAACAATAACACACAGATTGAATCGTCATTTGTGTTCATTGAAAATTAATTTTCAATATTTTTTTTTCATTTAAAATCAAGAGAAGCAACAGCATTGAATTGAACTAGCTACGATTTATAAGACCAAGTGTTCCTAAGCCTCTCCTCTATTTCCTTACGCCTATGCGTACTGCCTTCAGATTGTTTCATTTTTATCAAAAGTATATGAATAATAGCCTAATTTGTGGAATTTTCCCTATTCGGAATTAAAATTAGTTTGGTATAGAAAAAATCTTGAAAAACATTCATTTTAGAATACAAAAATATATTATATTTTAACGTTTCTTAGCTTTGGTACGTCAACTGTCAACGTGGTTTAAAACACGAATTTAAATTTCAGTGCGTCATTGCTGAATCTTCCGATAGGGATAATCTGTCAAATGTAGTTGTGTCATCTGTTTTGTTTTTATTTGTGTTTCTTCAACGAAAGCATTCGATGACTTTTGCTTTGGGTTTTATCAGAAACGATGGATGTTTTTGAATTTTTCAATCAAAATAAACCCTTGGTGAGGAAAACCATATCCGGTGGAACAACCAATGGTCGTGTTGTGGCTAACGAACCACGACCATCGAATCGAAGAGATGATTACTCAGGCTCAACCGAATATGCCGAAGAGCATATCATGGAAAATAAACGCCAAATGGCCGAAGTAAGTTGGAATTTGTTTCGATTATTGCCGAGTTGTATAATAACTAATGATATTTATTCCAGAGATTCGATAATTGGAGTTCCGATGAGGAAAACGATGACACACACGCAATGGATCAAATTTACGCTACGTTCAATTTCAATCGACCGAATTCAGTCTATCCGATCACACACTACAGAAGTCGCATTTTAAGTGCGATTAAAGACAATCCATTTGTGGTGTTGGAAGGGCCGACGGCTTGTGGCAAAACCACACAAGTGCCACAATTCATCATCGATGAAGCGTACAAAGAGAAAAAATACTGCAACATTATCATTGCACAGCCGAGGCGGATAGCGGCTGCAAGCAATGCGGAACGCGTGGCAAACGAACGCAATTGGCCAGTGGGCACAATTGTAGGTTATCAAATTGGATTCGATGAAAAGAAAAATCTCAGCAATGACACACGCATCCTATTTTGTACCACCGGAATTTTGTTGGAAAAATTGATTCGCACCAAAAACTTTGGTAATTACACGCATATTATCCTGGACGAAGTGCACGAACGAAACAAAGAAATGGACTTTCTATTCGTTGTGCTGAAAAAACTATTTGTGTCTGCACTAACACGGCCCAAGGTCAAAATTGTCATCATGTCAGCCACAATTCAAGCAGACCGAGTAAGTATTCGATTTTATTTAAATGCGATAGCATATAAGCATGCATTTTACTAATATACTCATATTTTGTTGTTGTTTAGTTTTCCGAATATTTCTCGTTCCCAAGACGTGGCCACATGCAACCAGCACCAATTGTAACCATTACAGAAAAGTCCAAGTATAAAATTGGCGAATTTTACTTGGAAGATTTTTATACAGCTGCACCGAAAATCGTAATTATTGTTTTAAAAAAAGAAGCACATTTTTCACTATGTTCATTAAATGTTCACGTTTCACCGTTTAGGATTACAATCATTTGGACAAGACGAATCCATGTATTCCAGAAGATTTGTACAAAATTGCTTTGTATTTGATCAATTGTTTTGATGACATCGATAAAAAGGAAATGCCCGAGGAATGCCAACATGCAGAGTGGCCAACAGTTTTAGTATTTTTGCCCGGCATACATGAAATCATTCAAATGGACAACATTTTGACAGATCAATGGCGCAGCGTGTAAGAAAATTGAAAATATTCCCATGACTTGAATGGGAACAATTTGGATTTAAATTAATGTCTAAAATCTAGGAACACGAACAGGACACGAATTGAAACTATTGTACTGCACTCCATGTCCGACGCAAAACAGAGAAGTTTAGCTTTCCGCAAAGCCGCTTCCAATACTCGTAAAGTGATTTTGGCAACAAATATTGCTGAAAGTTCAATTACGGTGCCAGATGTTAAATACGGTGAGTTAATATTTTTCTTTGAGTTTAATCAAATTAAAGATCGCATCAATCTCCATTGCATCGTCTTGAATGCAAAATTTGTATTGAATTCACCTTAAATTCTTGACTCTATAATAATTTAATACAATTTCTGTATCGAATATTAGTTTTGGATTTTTGCCGAACGAGAATAATGATGACGGATACGATTACCAATTTTTCGGCGCTTCAATTGACATGGGCTGCGCGCAGCAGTTGCATACAACGTGCTGGTAGAACGGGCCGGGTCATGAATGGCAGATGCTATCGATTTGTTGAAAATCACTTTTATTACGTAAGTATGCGGTGTAAATTCGTTATATTTTTTTTTCTCATCCGGAGTTGAGTTCATGCTGCCTCGGAATCCAATAAGTGACTACACATTTTCATCATTTCATGCTTGATATTAATTCGCAAATATTAATTTAAAAAAATATTTTCTCCTCAATCATTTCATTTCCACTATTCATCAAAATAGTCTATGACATTTTTACTATCACTAATATCACGAATATGATCGGGAATTTGATGTCAAACAATTGGCCCACGATTATCTAATAATATTTTATGGCTTGGTTCTCTCAATAAAAATTCATTTGAAATGCATATAAGTGCAATTTTTTTTTTGAACAATAACACCTTTATATTTTTTTTTAAACTTGACTCAAAATTATTTTACCAGAATGTGATGAATGAAAATGCGATTCCCGAATTGGTGAGCAGTCCATTGGAGAATGTGATTTTGAAAGCAAAACTCTTGGAAATGGGACCGCCAACATCGATTCTTGCCCTGGCCATGGATCGTCCGCAGCTTAATGATATCGCTAACACAATATTAATATTGAAAGAAATTGGTGCATTGTTGAAGACTTGCAACGGTGAAACTAATGATATGGACGGAGATATTTCGTTCATTGGTCGAATCATGGCTAATCTTCCGATTGACGTCAAAATTGCAAAGTTCATTATACTCGGCTATTGCTTCAGCATACTCGACGAATGCATTGTTATCGGTATGATGTCATAATTTAATAACACTCTCAGAATTCAAAGGAGGCAAACTAAAAAACATATAGTGTAAAACATCAAATTACCCACTGTTTTTTGCCATTGTAGGCAAAATATCAGTTTACCTCCACTGTATTAAAATTGTCGGCAAAATGTCATTTTACCTACATTGTTAATACAATGGAACAGCGTTCCACCAAAAATGTTAGTTTGCCTCCTTTGAATTCTGAGAGCATAATTCATTTCTGTTAATATTTACTTGATTCAAATTCTACGAATAACTGTCTATATTCATATTTCAGGTGCGGCCCTAAATTCAAGAAGTATTTTCCGTGATAATTACAAAGCCAGAGATAATATGCGACTGTATTCGCAACAGCTACGCTGGGCCAATTCTTCGGGCAGTGATTTGGTTGCAATGTTACACGCATACAATGCATGGTCTTATTCCCATAATCACAGCATGTTTGGTGAGTCAACCACCCGTGTGGCTCGTGAACGCATGAAACGCACCGAACGCGAATGGGCAGATAAATTTTGCCTTGACATTGACGCTTTGCACGAATGCCATGTACAAGTGAATGAAATCAAACGTCGATTGGAGCGCATGAAAATCAAGTCTGGCGTTGGATTGAATTACGTTCAATGGAACGACAATGAAAAAGCAATCATTTTGAAAGTGGTGATTGCCGGTGGATTTTACCCAAATTTCTTTGCTCGCACCTTGCTTAACATCGATGATTACGCTAAATTAGCATTTCAAAGCATTGGAACGCGTGATCCAAGAAACACCGTTTACTACACAGGCTTCGACAGAGACCATATCCGATGTTTGTATGCAAAACCAATCAAACGAATTTTCATCGACAACGGTATTGTGCCAAACGAAAGGAATGTTCAAGTGAATTTCGATTTTGGCTCAAACAAAACATTCATCACATTCAAAAACGATGAAGATGATTATAGCTACGAAAATGGCATCGAACTTATGCCCGGCAAAGTTTGCACCGAAGTTTATAAATCGCTAAAAATGCGAGATTTGCGTATCAACACCGAATTTTGGATCATGAAGTAAGGGTTTTTTTATGTCAATATTTATTTTTGTTCCAAGTGAAGAATGTTGATAAAAGTGAAATATTTTCAGATCACGTTCCGATGAGGAAGAGTATGCCAATGGGCATGATATCACATATGAAGGGGATTCTCCGCAAAAACCAAGTAAAACTGCATATGCATCAGTTTGCATTCCGAGAATTTTAGATGAATTTATGAAAGGATTCATAACACATGTACACAGTGACATCCATTCAATTTAATCATTCAATTTTTTTACATTTTGGCTAATCAATTTTATTTATTAGATTGAAGCATGCAATCAATTTTGGTTTCAACCAGAAACGGAATGGTATAAGGTGTCCGAATTTGAGACTTACCTCCGAAATTATCGCAAAGAAGTGCTTGAACCATTGTCCATCGATACTGAATCACTCATTGGACAATTAATTATCGTTTCAATCGATGCTTGCAGTGGCATCACATATCATCGTGCAAAAATTTTGGCGTTCAACGCTGAATTGTGTCGAGTAGGTTATTCTTGTCATTCTTGTTCAGGATTTTCATTTGCTTTCTATTTTTGAATCAAGAAATTCTTACATATTATCCAAAAATAAATTGTTTTGGTGGTTTTGAAAATAATTTCATAGGTTCGCTTGATCGACACGGGAAAAGTTTTAGAATGTAATACGGAATGCATCTATAGATATTGTGGTAGACTAAGAACATTTTTTGATCTTCCACCGCGTTGCTTCGAATGTCGCCTGGCTCAGATGCAACCATCTCAAATTCGATACCCAAGTGGAAATTGGCCTATCGAAGCCATAACTTTGTTCAGAAATAAAACGGAGCAAAGAACGATTGAAATCGAGGTACAATCTTAATGAAAACTGAAAGTCTTCGTTTATATCCATTAATTTAATGAACTCCCTTTCAGGTGTATTCGGTTACCAATGGAAAAGCAAATGTGTTCGTTCACGTGGATTCAAAAGAAAATCTCAATGATATGTTGATTCATGAACAATTCGGCGAGTTTGTCGAAGAAGATTACATTTCAAACTACAATCATTTGATGCGAAAATCACAAATGGAATGCCAATTGACGAGTCAAAATTTCGACAATTTCCTTGATCCGATGTGTGAAAGCTATTTTTTGGAAGAAAGTCTCAGTGATATTGACCCGCCGACGTTTGAAAAAATGAAAAATAAAAAGATGATCAAACTCAAGGGTCCATACAGTTCATTGTCAATTGAACCGATCGGTCTTACCGAAGCCACACGCAATGCAAAGGTTGTAATCGATAGGCATTCGGTAAATTCAGTTATGCTGGAGAATGATCCACAAGTAGGTTTTGCCCATTTAAAACGTGATTTAATTCGAAAAATAATTTAAAATTTTTAATTCCATCCCAAATATTTTAGGACATAACTGAAAAATATTTGGTTGCCGCTACAATTTGTTACACCGATCCGAATAAACGAAACATAAATCTTCGTTACACAACACAAATGCCGAATATTCGTGGTTTTGGCCCGTTAATGGCGCTAATCTTCAGTCCAACGATGCATGTGAAATGCAACAAGGATAAAACACATTACACTGCACTTCGAACGGGCTTAGGGTATAACAGTGCCAAAGGACGGCCAATGTTCGCTGAACATGATATGGTTTTCAACTTGAACGTCGAAATCACACAACATGACATCGAATTGGTTCGTTGATGCATATTTCATTTTATTGCCACCAATTTTATCATTCAATTTTATGTTCGGCAGGTGAATCAAATTCGCTATTGCCTAGACACATTACTTCTCACTTACCCGGGACAAGAGGAAGCCAATCAATTAAGCGAGAATACCAAACGGGAAATTCTGCTGAAAATCAAGAGCGTCATTGTTGAGTATGTCTATATGCATTAGAGTAGTTTATGTTGATTAAAATCAACACGATTTTAAGTCAAAATCCATTAAAACCTAATTCCACTCGTCCAATAGATTGCTGGAACGGCCTCGCCAATGTATCAACACCGAAATTACGGAATTCCAATGGGACCCAAATTTTACCAATTCACCCGATTTCGTTGTGTCTCATGCAAATGACATTTATGGGCATCGAGCCATATTCCCAATGCATAGCACATTAAAAACGCAGAGCAGTTACGATACGGATGGCGATTTCTTGCGCCTCCATTGCAAACAGCTACACGATTTAACCCAATTGTAAGTTATTACAATACAAATTAAATTCGCTTAATTTGCTAATGTTTTGAATATATTTTCAGTGTTGTCAATTTGCCGAAAACCGTTCAATGTCGATTGTGCAATACCAAAGTGGACAATATAGCCGACCTCAAAATGCACCTCGTCTCTCGACTCCACTGTGATAATGAAAAGCGGATCGAGTTTACAAAATGATGATTGTTATTCATTTTGGACCAAAATACACAACTGTCAACTGCATGTGGTTTCAACAATAAGTTCTTAAGTAATGAAAATAAATTTATGCTTTGTTGATACATTCATAATAAAATTATTGCAGAAACTTGGTAAAAAAAAAATCGTTTTCGATAATTTTCAATTATGTTTGTCAGGCTTATTAGCATTTTTAAGCAGGAAAAGCGGCATTTTATAATTCTTTTATTCACATTGCTTTGCATTCGAACCATATGAGTAATCTAATCGTATGTGTTTTTTAAATGACACATGTACTACATATATGCTCGCCTCTATATTACTGTGTCCAAAGTCTGACGAACACAAATTTTGACATTGTGTTGATAAAGTTAAAAGATTATATTATAAACATAAACTTACGATGATGAAACAGTATCGTCAGATATGCGTTGATACTGCTCACCAACAAAAGATCAACCTAACGCATGTAAGTCAGAAACAACTTGGAAGTCAAGACATAGAATTTAATTCAAAGTGTGTTGACAATAGCGGTACTATATTGAAATTTCTTTGGTAAAATTTAAAAAGTTTTTTCACCATAAAAGTGACGGTGGCATTCAAAACTATGAAGTTTTTATGGGCATTCATTGGAATACTTGTCATTGTGACTAGTGCGATAGGCATACCTTCACGTAAAATTCAAAAATTTCGAATCATTCGAAATGGAATTGATTTTAATGCAAGCCATGATCAAAAAGAGCACATTCGACGGGCAAAACGCACTTCTGGTGAATGGAATAATAAAGCCTTTGTTGGCATAATACCGAAAACCGTAAACGAACACGGAGGAATTCTAAATACATCTGCAATTCTTTCATTGGCCACCGAACGAAATTCTTTTTTAAGGAACAAACATTGTGAATTATCATTTGCACATTCAGATCTATTGTATATCGAGTCCGAAAAATTGAAAAAGGATTATAATTACATGAGAACCGTCGCTCAATGTCCAACCTTTGAAGATTGTCTAACTTTTATTATATGTTTGGGAAACCAATTGTAACATTTGTGGGTTCGGATAATGAATTCAAAGGCGAAATTGGATTGGATACCGAAAATGAAAAAATTATCTTTTTCGGCAATAGTCAAGCATTCAGTGGCGCTTCTTCCTCTGAGATTTACGCAATAATAAAAATAAAAAATCAAAAAAATGAAACAGTTAGAAATATTGTTTTGTTTCCAACACAAAATATGTTAGATATCATTGAAGTTTATGATCTGAAAAATGGAATCAGTTATGAATATAGTTTTATTATTGAAGTGCAAATGGCCGAACCAAACCACATATTTTTTCAAATCAATGAAATCAACTACTATCAATCTGGAATGTTGACCGAAAGAAAATTCATAATAATCGACGAAGATTTATTATCTTATGAATTTTATGAACAAAAATATCTTAAATTGCTATTGGATTGACGGAACAATTTTCAATACTGGAAAAATCACTTGAAGTTTCGAACAAATCCCAGTGATTTGTCTGCTGAAACTGAAGAAAAACGAAAAGAATGGAAGCATACCAATTTTGTGATTTTATTAGATAAAATTCAAATCATACAAAATAGTGAAAATATTCATAAATTACAAATCAAAGTTCGTAAACTAGAAAACGAAATTAAACATAAATTTGACGAATTACATAATTTAATATCCAACTTGGAGTTGAAAGTTAATCAATTAGAGAAATCAATAGAATCGATTACTTCGGATTCAAACAGTATGTCATGCTCAGGCGTCTTTGGATTTATTTCACCCGTTTCTTCTCTGATTCCTGGAGCTGGAACCATTGCATCTGCTGTTACTGGAGTTATTGGTGCAGCGTGTACAGTTGTGGGTCAATAGTAACGAAATGATGCACCAACCAGCGATGATATGATGATCATCGCATATGGGTTACGAGTTATGAGAGAAAAACCGAAAGAACGCAAAAAAACCGTATAAATGTATAGAAAAATATCAATTTTTCCCACTGAAAATTTTGTTATTTCTTTTCGGGTAGATTCGAATTCTGCGTCCTAAAAAACCAATTATTCAAAATGGCTGCTTTGAACAAAAATTTACTTTTGGTGGAAAAATACGTGGAAAATGTGATATTTTTCGATACGTGAACACTACTAGAAAATGTTAGTTCTGAGATTATTCGATTTTTGTCATCAGCATAGTCAATCTTGAGGTAATTTGAGGCGCTGAGTTCAAATTTGATGTTAAAAATACACTATGAACTATAGATTTACATTTTCGATATGTTATTAATATGTTAATAACCAAAATATCGGAAAATTTCTAATAACTCAAACATAACATATTATTAGATTAATAAGATTCTACCATATTATTAACATATTATCTTATTATTAATAAGATCGCCATTTAATTAAAAAGTTAATAAGATCCATCTTATTATTAATAAGATAATCTTATTAAAATATTAATAAGAAAATCGGATTTTATTAACCAATTTAAAAAAAAAATTGCGAAGAAAAGTTTCATACTAAAAACATATCAAATATCGTCAAATGACGAAATATTGAAGAAAAATGCATCTGACGATATTTGATATGTTTTTAGTATGAAACTTTTCTTCGCAATTTTTTTTTAAAATTGGTTAATAAAATCCGATTTTCTTATTAATATTTTAATAAGATTATCTTATTAATAATAAGATGGATCTTATTAACTTTTTAATTGAATGGCGATCTTATTAATAATAAGATAATATGTTAATAATATGGTAGAATCTTATTAATCTAATAATATGTTATGTTTGAGCTATTAACGCCCCGTTAATAATATGTTAATAATTAATAACATTAGTATGTTAATGCCAGTAAATCTATACTATGAACCATGTATTTTTGCTATATGGCTGAATTTATTTTAAAAAAACCATGTTTTTGTACTGAATTTTTTTTAAAAAGCAACATTAGCGAATTTCTGACAACGAATTCGTGTTCAACGTTCCAAAAAACCCTAAAAATGATATGTTACCAGATTCGATTTGAATAAACTATGGGTTTTCTATCAATGTATATGTTGAAAAATAGGTCAAAAACAGCCATTTTAAGTACGGCTCTATCGACCACTAGATTTTAACCTATTTTTTCATCTGAAAAAGGGAATCAGCTAGTTTTGAGCCGAATTTAATTTTAAGTCATTGGGAGCATATACCCTACCATGATAAATCAGTTTGGACCACAAAAATATTGATATAATAAATATTGTTGAGTGTTTCGAAGAAAAACAAACAATAGATAAAAGTGGTCTTTCATTTGATTTCAACTAATGTAGTCTTTTGTGTAAAATATCGCCTTTATTCTCTCTTGTGATGTGATTAGGTTTATGGCGAATCTTGTTTCTTCCTTTTCGTTCAAACTCCATGCATTAATGCAGATTAACCAAAATTGAAATTAATTCGTTGAATTCGTGACGCAAACCATGGCAAAAGCTTCAGTTCATTTACTTGCGTGTACCAATAGATGGCGCCTTTGGTTAGTGACAACCTCAAAGTGAAGAGAATCATTATATTTGATTCACGCATTTTCAAAAACAACTCATGCCTCTTCAACCGTACGCAAGCTAAATGGTTCGGATCGACTTAACACTTTACAAAATCAATTAGATATGTTTAGCACTTTTTCTTTCAGGTTTTTTGCGGCGAAACGTACAAATATGTCTGTTGTTTTTTGGCGATATGGCAAAAATATCATTTAGTATAAAAATAGAACCAGCATTACTGGTGTTTATAAATTCAACAATCATAATATCATTTAATCGTAAAAGAGAACAGGGCAAAAAAAGATGAATTTCATTTAGATCGAAACAAAAGAAATGCAAAATAGGCATTTGTACCCGATTCGATTCTTATCACAGTCGGTTGTAAAGTAGATAGTCAAAAGATATCCACACCGTCTAGTTTTGGTAACAATAACAACGACTCGACAAATCACCATAACAGCGATTGTTTTAGCAACGATAATGAAGAGACTGCTATTAGACACAAACACAAAATCTGAATGATCTCGAGTGAAAGTGTAGTACGAACTATAAAGCCCGTATTCATATACACGGAAAAGTTTCTTATCAAAAATTATGCAGACATGCCGAAGATAACAAAGTTATCATAACTCTCTCGAATTCTCTTTACAAGTCCGAAGAGTATATTCAAATCATAATTACTTTATTTGTCGACCGCTTCAGTATGCAAACACAGCACAAATCAAAATCAAAAGCAAAACCAATGCCAACACAAATGAAGAGTGTAAATAAATAAACAAAAAAAGCGTGTAGTGAAGAAGAAGAAAAAGAAAAAAAACACAAAATTTTTTCGCGTCTGCACAAAACAATCCGGGTATGAATTCCAAGCGCCGATCGAAGAAACCCAACTAAGTCACACAAGTTTACACACGTTTCTATCGTAACTAGATTGCGTTTCCGTGGCAGTGGCCTTTTGCAGTTGCTAACGATAAAACCGCTTAAAACGTAAATAGTTTCGTTGTACTGCTTGTGATAAACGTACATTTAGTTTTGCGACGTGACGCATTTTCTGTGTATTGAGTGTGTGTTTAAACTTTTGTTAAGTGCTTGGACCGATGTCAGACTGGTGACGACGGCGCATAGTTCTGCTACTGAAAAAATTTGAATAATTTAAAACTTTTTGGAAAAACAGTTTTTTTTGCTCATATAAAAAGATCTCAAAGCCACAGGCGTTTCGTTAAAAAATTTGTACAATTCGAATAATTTTCAAGTTCACAAAAAGGAATAGAAGAAGACGAAAAAAAAATGACAATCGAACAGGGCAACGGTGAAATGACTGAAAAAGCAAATGTTTGCGAAAATAAACTTGTTGAAGAAAGTGATATCGTGAAGAGCCGTTATTCGCCGCTCTGCAGACAGGTTGGTGTTAAGTGTTGAAAATCAAGTTTATCAGTTCGTTAATGTTTTCTTTTTTTCATTTCTGCTTCTCATTTTATTCATCTTGAATTCCATTTGTGAACCACAATTTGGCGTTTGTTTGTCAGTTTGTTGCTGCAATTGGCTGCACAGCAACGACAATATCTGTAGGCATGACAATCGGTTACTCGGCAATTTTGTTACCAGAACTTCAGCATCCCAGCAGTCGTATTCATGTGGATCTCGAAATTGCCTCATGGATTGGTAAGAAAACGGAGCCCGAAAATAAAAACCGGATGAAATTGCAAACAATTTTGTCTTCTTTTTCTTTCAGCATCGATAGCGTTGCTGCCAATGGCATTCGGTTGTTTAGTTGCTGGATATTTAATGGATCGTTTTGGTCGTAAGATGACAATACTGGCTCTCAATGTGCCATTTACCGTCGGTTGGTGCATCATCTCGATGAGCGATTGTATGTTTTGGTTGTTGTTCGGTCGCATTTTAACTGGATTTTGTTGTGGTGTACTCAGTCCAACCACTCCAATGTATCTGAGTGAGATTTCGGCACCAAAATATCGTGGATTTTTCCTCGCTTCAATCACACTCGATGTTGCACTAGGTGTTCTGTTAACACATTTTCTGGCAATATACTGCACATGGAATGTGAATGCCATCGTTTGTGGCTTCCTTCCGTTTATCGGTTACATAGCAACAACATTTGTACCAGAGAGCCCATCATGGTTGTTGAAAAAGAATTGCATCCATGAAGCCCATCATGCCTTCGTTTGGCTTAGAGGCTGTGACGAATCCGCCTCGATCGAATTTCAATCAATGGTTGATGCTCAAATTAAGAATTCGGCGGCGACATCAGCCCAACATAGTGACGATGACACCGAAAACAATGGATCCGGTGCCGGTCGCCAACATCATCCGATCGATCATTTGCGTCAGCTGATAGCGCACAAGTCATTCAATACTCCCCTGATAATTCTGTCGATTTACTTTGCAACACTTCAATTTTCCGGTGTGAATGCCGTCATTTTTTACACCGTCACCATACTGAAAGATTCATTATCGGGCACCGACATTGATGAGTACGTAGCAACATTGGTTATTGATGCTGTGCGACTAGTGGCCGCGTTGATAGCATGTATTGTCGTCAAATGTGCGGGTAGACGTCCATTAACCATTTTCAGTGGTGGATCCACAGCGATTTGCCTTTTCGGTCTCAGTTATTATCTCAGTTTGTCCGCTGAGAATTCGTTGAGGAATTACGCGAGCATTCCATTAGCATTATTCGTGATTTACACACTTGTTTTATCAGTTGGAATCAATCCGCTGCCATGGTGTTTGACCGGTGAACTGTTCCCGTTGCGGTATCGTGCGATTGGCTCGGCATTTGTGACGGCATTCAATTTTCTATGCTTTTTCACCGTTGTCAAAACCAGTCCAATCTATTTTAGCATTTACGGTGGCAGCAAAATGTTCTGCTTTTATGGCATTTTAACAGCGATTGGAACCATTTTCCTCACATTAGTTTTGCCGGAGACAAAAAATAAATCATTACAAGAGATCGAAGACAATTACACTGTGAAACGGAAACATAAAATGAGTCGCAATAAAGTTCAGCCATAAAAAGCGATGAAGACCTGCACAAACACACAGCGAGAGAAGGAAAAAAACGAGAGATGATGAAAAGAAGACAACAGCAACAACAAGAATGACACAGAAGATGAAATGCGCAAAGCTTAGACGATTCCAGGCAAATGTATAAATTGTCAAGCGCCACAAACATGTTTATCAGATCTATCAAAATTGCATGCATTGCGCTATCAAAAAAGCGTTTGATCCAAAAGCCATTTTACATTTCTGAATTGCACGTATCACAGTGAGCGTGAGCGCACCCACACGCTCAGTGTCTGTGTGTGTGCCTTTGGCGTCATCGTCGCCAGTAAAGGGCGAAAAAAGCAGCAGATCAATGTAAGTTAAATGTGCCCCGTCATCGTTTGTAGTGACGACGATAATGTAGTGCGGATTTGACAATAAACGGTTTGGAATACGCCAGCAGATAAATGCAAGCAGCTAAAATCGATTACGTGATGGCTTGTGTAATGGCAATGAACGATGAAAGTAGCTCGCGAACGCGCGCGCGCGCTCATCCGCCTCACATCATTGCGAACGCCTTAGCGCAAAGCCAAAACTGTTCTCCATATGTGATTAGTGCCCAATATTTTGTACATTGAATCAACATTTGACACCGAAATTTGCGCGCACCTTCAAACGATATTTAAAAGTTGGGAATTTTTCAAGCGACAACAGCCGAAAAAGTGAAGAAAAAAATGTGCATCAATACATACAAACATTGGGAGATATTGTCAAAGCGAGCAAAAAAAATCATCTTTTTGATGGCGTATATACACAAGAGAGTCGAGATAACAACGTTACTGTTACAACGTTTGGTTCTCAGTACGCTTTCGTCATTTACTTATCAGAATCCATTTTTTCACATTTTGACATTAGAAATGTGATTCGCATTTGGACGACACAAATCAGGGTTATTTTCGGTACGCACAATTTTCACTCATTCTTTGACATCATCGTCTTCGTCGACGTCCCCATGTATTTTTTTTGTTGTTGTTGATTCATTTATCGATTTTCACTTACTTACCCACATGCAACCGTCGCGTTGATTTTGTCAAGCATGAAACTGAAAACTAGCACGGTAAAAAAAAAAAGGAAGAGGAAGGAAAAGGCGCAAAACATTAAGTTCTATAATACAATTCATAATTTATTTATTAAGTGTTCGAAAAAAATGTTCGTCGTTACAACATTCATAATATGACTTTGATGATACAGATTTCATTTAAACTTGTTTTTACGTAATTTATTTTTTGTTGTTGTTGGGAATTTGTAGTCGTGAACGTGAGGCGAATAAAAACATTTTTTTTTGTTTAGATCTAATTAGTTCTAATTTTTCTTTAACCAAAATCTAAAGCGTAATGTTACAAATAAATCTCTTTCTCTCTTTGTTCCACCAACGATTTTTTTTTTGCTGTTGTTCTTGTTTTCACTTGCTTTCGATCCCTTTCTTGATGAAATGTTATTCTAGATTTTTTGTTTGTTTTTTTTCCATTGATAACAAAGAATGAAACTTATTCGAAAAGAGAAAATTACTAACTAGAAGAAACATTCAATATTTTCTTTGACTACTTCTATCAGATACTCGTCGAAAATGTGTAGCAATTACCATTATGCTTTCCACATATCTCACCCTTCCAACGAGATCTGTCTCGCTCTCACTTTGCTCGCGCGCGCAACAAATTTATTTCTTATTTACATTCGAATAAGATGTTCAAATACTGAACTTAAAATTTTTTTTTCTTTACTCCGGTGTTGTCTTTGCCGATGTATTGAAAGTGTTTTCTCGAACGGAATAAAAAAGAAGAAAATTAAATGAAATGCAGACTCTGTCCCCCTTCGCAATACAACTACCGATAAAATTGATTACGCCACACTATTCGAGCGTATTTCATCTCGGCTTGGCCATTATTTACGTCGTAGCGTTTATTTTTATTGGTATGGTACCCAATTTCCTTGCTTTCGGATCATTCCCAGATTATGCAAACGTTTTGCAATGGTTGAGCGATCAACTCCCAATGAATCTGCAAGTTCTTCTTGCGTTTGGCTCGAATCTTGATCGAGTAATGCCTCCAATTCTTCATCTTCAAACCTTTTTGGCTGTCCGGGCCGCTCCTCGTCTTTCAAGCCAAAATCACCACTTTTAAATCGTGCAAACCACTTTTGACACGTTCGCTCAGCTAGAGCATGGTCACCATAAACTTCCACTAAAATTCGATGACTTTCGGCTGCACTTTTCTTCATCATAAAATAATGAAGAAGAACGCCCCGTAAAAACACTTTATCTGGCACGAAATTCGACATTTCCAATTGAATAAAAAATTTTATTGTTTACGCTTCAATCAAATGACACAGACTGAAAGAGACGCGTAATAACAGTAGCTTTCCAATGAATATTTGGAAAAATGGAATAATGGGATAATAATCTAGTTACGCCATCTTTTGTGAAACCGCACAAATTAATTCACACTCCCAATAGAATTTTTTTTATTTGATTTGGTTTTGTTTTGAAATTTCTACAAGAGCCCAACGTGTGTTAACGAAAATCATTCGAATGAAAAAAAATTGATGGAATTGAACGGTTTTTCTTGATGAACTATTCTCTCATCGGTTTGTATTTGTAGCTTGTTCTTGATAAGACTTCTTAAGTCATGCTCATTAATTTTTTTGTTGTTGACTTCTGAAGGTGGCTATGAGTGCTTATTTCGTCAAACTTGGATGTTTTTCTTAAGTTTTCTTTTCTCCCTCTCTGTATTCTTCTTCTTTCAAAACAATTTGAAACAATGTTCAGAAATGACTTTTCTTAAATCGACAAATTCATACGTGTCGCTTTGCTTTAAAATATATGTCTTGTGTTTTGCTTTTTTTCGCTTTTATTCATGTGTTTTTTTTTCACTTTATTTCTTTTTGGTATAATCACAATCTAGCTGAGCTTGATTTTCAATGGATAGTTTTTTTTCAATTTTACATATATTTTCTCCTATATTTAAATTATGGGTTAAGTATGCGGATTTGTATAATAATTCAAGAGAGTTGAAAAAAAGACTCCCCCACCACACAACAATATGGCGACGATAGAAGGAATATTTTCGTGGAACTTACATTGTTGATGGAAAAAGAATTGGATGCTTTCGAAGCGTTTCGCACAGTTTCAAATTGAAATAGAAATGGAATTTTTGAGAGAAGTTTTTCTTTTTGATTTAATAACAACAACCAAATGTAGCAAACGAATGCACATTACTTTGGTTGTCGTTCATATCTCGTCAGTCGTTTGATTGACGGTCGTTAGAATATGGCACCAAATCAATGAATGATTCATACATATTTAAAATGTAAATGGCAATTTGCTCGCACCAAAATACAATGCCACTCAAATATTCGAATGGGTGACATACAAAGGCTATAAAATGAATAAATCTAAACGCTAGAATAATTTATGATGATAATCGACGCATAGTTTTGATGCATTCGATTGTAATAAATAATTGGACGTACTAAAATTGGAATGGAACAAAGGAATTGTCATTTTATTGTTCTGGGTGGCAAATCATCAAATTGCCTTATTGTGTGTGTGGCAGTTGCTTTGTTTTTTTCTTTTCTATCTTGAATATTCAAACCCCTTCAATCAGGCTTTCACTCAAATCCCCGGAAGCTTGTCAATTAGGTGGTAATCAACAGAACGAATCGCGAGAAATAAAATCGAAAGAAATGAACGAAAATTCAGAATTTCATGCAGTGGTGTAACCGAAGCAGTTTCGGCGAAGCCGAGGTAAAGAAAACAAGCATGATTCGAGTGAAAACCGTCGCTGTGTGTGTGAGTTTGTGAGTGTGTGAGTGTATCAAAATGAGAAAGAGAACAAAGAAGAAGATTCACAAAACGAAAATTGTTCTTTTCCTTTCAAATAGTTAGTCTACATTATTCTTGTGTTTGTCTTCATTTGTTTTTTTTAATCGTAAATAATCTGCACAAACGTGTGTATGAATCAATTCATTTTAAACCACTTACTTAACTAAGCTCATACATACTATCAAATAAATAGTTTAGGTTTTTCTTTATTGCTCTGACAAAATTGAAGATAACTTTGATATTCGAACACTAGATCCGGTCTTATTTTTTCTTGAATGAACAATTGTTTGTTGATGAAAAGCTTATTTGACCATGGTCGGGAGAACAGTTTTGGAAACGGCATAGATTTGTTTATGGTGGCTTTTTATTTCTTCTTCTTTTAAATATTCGATTTTGAAGTCGATTTAATTGAAACTAAATCCATTTGATTCCATCATCAATGACAGTTTATCCGTATTCTGATGTTGTTCTCATTTTATTTTTAAAGCAAACAAAAGACTTCTTTCAAATTATTATAAACAGCCACTTACTTACATTGCTGAATAGGAAATACAAAATGAAATCGAAAATCTTGAATATTCTGATCTTGGTTGCCCACTGCGTGTGTACAACCCGATCGAATACTCAATAAATTCTCAAAGATCGCTGCGTAAATGATCATTTGTTTCTTTTCGTCGTGCGAAAATCAAAGTATTTCTCACTAATAAGCGTTTCCACATAACTCCTTTGTTCTTCTTATCTCTTTTTTCCTCTTCCTTGTTCTGTGAAAAGACCATTAACTTATGTAAAAGTTGTGCATATGCTGCACATTTCATGGTATTATTCGTTTCTGTTCCACATTTGTTTTCTATGTTTATCTCAGTTTCGCAATTGACACTTAAATCACAAAAATCATGATGCATTTCGTACGGCATTGATGCTGCAAATCGTCCAAAATCAAAATGTACAATGTAATAAAATGGACAATTAAATCGGGCTGGGTTTAAAATATACTCATCTAATTTCATTCTTTGTGACAATTATCGATTTTGGTTGTTGAGTTTTTGGTTTGCTCTAAACGGGCACTACAATTCATTCGATGTACAGATGACATTGGTTCAGAATTTTTACGCAGATTTTCGGAGCCGATTTTCGGAACCGTGTTTGTTTGTTTGTTTTATTCACATATTATACGTTTCGAACACATTTTCTTTTTGTTATAATGCAAAATTAATCGTATTTGTTTTTTTCTGCACATGCTAATTGCCTGTTGTAATTGCCTAGCTGCAGCAATTAGTTTGTGTTTCTGAATAATTATTATATACTTTGAAGTTGTTTTTTGTTGATTTTTATTTATTTTTTCTTCATTATCTTAAGTAGGTAAATTTATTCGGAGTATCTTATGTTGTACTAGAAATGTTTGTTTGTTGTGGTCAATAACAAATTATCCCTAACGAATCAGTTAGCGTTATTAGTCGTGTTTTAATAAAAGTGATTTCATTACTTCATTTGACTGTTTTTATTGCGATCGATTTGAATGATTGGTGATTGAATTGTTTATGGTAAGAGAATTGTCATTTGGTTTTTTTTTGTGTGTTTTGTTTGTTCTTTCGTCGTTGGAAATTATGCATATCTGATTCTACAATTTAGTTTCAATCGAGATTTTAATAAAGCGTAAACAAATTCGTTGGTTTTGGTTTGTTTTTGTTGTTGCATACAAGCAGTTTAGAACGTAATCAATTTGAATTGAACAGAATAATGCCTTTCTCTCGATCACTTGGTCGAGACTCTCGACTCGAGAGATAGCACGCTCTATGGCAAGCGGCTCATTTACAATGGTTTTTCTTTTCTTTTCTTTACTTTCTTTTTGGGAAAATGGAGAAAGCGACAAACAACTGAAGATTTTAATGGAAAAATAACTGCACTCTTCAACTCTCCCTCCTCTTCCTCCTCCATCTAGTAGTCCGTTCCGTTTTTTTGTCAGAAGGAATAGCAAGACTTATGATATGTCAACGAAGAAATGGGCACAGTAAAAATCACAAACGTCTTTTTGAAGCGTTTACCATAATGAATTTATACGAATAATTGCCTATGTGAGACACTTTTGTTTACTTGTACTTGTGTTCATGGTTTCATTCATTTTGTTTTTGTCGGTTGTTATAATTGTTGTAGAAAAAGCGTATGAAATGTCGGGTTAAGTTGTGTTTGTGTGTGTGTGTGTGTATGTTTCCTTTATTCGGTTTTTCTAACGATCGACGTTCGTCGATTCAAAGTAAATAATTTGACAGGCATTCCTTATAGTATTGATGATTTGAATTTTCGACAACAAGAAGAAAAACAAAATGGTTGAAATTTGTGGTCGATCTTTGGTTTTTGCAGTTGAAGGCATTTGATATATCGAGATATCGTTATATAGAGTAAGATTAAATATGTCATGTTTTGAGGAGTATGATGAGCATTTTGAGGCGCATTGGATTTTTTTTTCATTTAGAAAAGG